AGTTTTGTACAAGTTAGTGGTCGTGGATACTCAGACGAGTCTTTGTGCGTTAAGAGTATTATGTATGAACAGTAACTACATGTACTTTCCTAGTGACTCAATATATTAAATGCATCTTTTACAAAGATTTACTAAAAACTAGGAGAGGTACCCGGCGTTGCCAGGACGAGGAACAGAGGCCACATCTGCACTGTAGACGTACTCTTCATTACTGTAATATATTATTATTAATATAATTATTTAATGAATGAATATACGGCTATGACTGACCCTCCCAGTCTCTTGGGGTTTCCCCAGAAAACATGAGCTTCGGAAACCATTTTCTGTTTTAAAATCAGAAAAATGATGATCATCCCATGGGAGGTTATTACAAAATTTATCGAACGTAGCTATTGTTTTGAGCAAAACTCAATCGTCGCTAAAGGCAGGTAGGACTCGGTACCAGGGGCGCCATACAGCTTAAGTCCTTCCTCGTGTATAATGGTGAAGTGTTGTCCATTATTTGTATTCACAGAACGCTTTATGCCTTTTTAAGAGGAACGCCTCGAACACAGGAGTTAATTAAAGCACTTATAAAGAAAAGCTTAGATCGTGGTACTGGACCCAGTCAATCATTACTAAAGTTGGTCGTAATCATAATTATGGGTAAAATGCTCGCTAATCCAGCCGCGAAACTCCTTTGTTTATGAATAAAAAATACTTTAAATATGACTACTAATTAGGCTCAAACTTTTCTTCGGGTACGAATTCCATCTACGTCCGGGTGCAAATACTTGTATATGTATGTATAAATGTATATGTATGTGTTTACCTATTTATTCCTGCACGACGGAGCTGTTAACTCTTGGACCCCGCCTTTCTATGTGTCTATTGTTTAATATACTGACTCCCGACCCATTTTTTTTTATAAGATCTGCTACATTTCTCTCACTCACACACATACGCCCAAGATGTAGCCCACATCAGCTGTCTAACTCCCAGGTACCTGTTCTACTACTAGGTGAACAAAGGTATTGGGTGAAAGAAACTCTTCCCAATTGTTATCGTCCTGGCTGAGAATCGTACTTGGAATGTCCTTAGATTGTGAGTCACATTCTTTTCACATTGACGAGGCAAATTCTTTGTCGAATCGGGCTTTAAAGTTGTGGATGGAGGTGGCTTCCATAATTTCCTCTTTTAGAACATTATACGTGTTAACTGCCCGTCCTGAATACGAGTACTTTCTGACGTCCCTTCGGCTCATTTGCTCCTCCAGCCTCCACCTGTGTTCTCTTATCCTGCTTTCTCTCAGTCTGAAGAGGCTATCCTTGTCCTCTCTGTTCCTTCAATCCTCGTGGGGATTGTAAGGGGTAGAAATAGCCTAAGCTACTCCATCCCTTTGAGATGTACTTTTTTGTTGTCTCAATAAACAAACTTGAACTTGGGTTATGAGATTGTTCCATCAGCCTATGTTCGTAGCTTAACCCTCTCAGCTCTCGTACTAATCTTGTTGCAAATCTTTGTACTTTTTTAATTTTGGCTTTATGCTTCACAAGGTGCGGATTCCATTCCGGTGCTGCGTATTCCAATATTGGTTAAATAAATGATTGCACTGAGAGAGAGAGAGAGTCCTGATTCAAATTCCTAAACGATATTTTTATATTTGCCAGTTTGCCATATGCTGCCAATGTTATCCTGGTTTAGTGGCGAGGTCTTGCTGCCTCAACGCTTTCTCCCGAGGTCTTGCTGCCTCAACGCTTTCTCCCGAGGTCTTGCTGCCTCAACGCTTTCTCCCGAGGTCTTGCTGCCTCAACGCTTTCTCCCGAGGTCTTGCTGCCTCAACGCTTTCTCCCGAGGTCAGTTCTGCAACTCTTTCGATTTCTTGACCTATTCCAAGATTCATTTTGTGCTCTTTTACCGTGAAGGTTCCATGCCAGGGCTGCGTACTCTTGGATAGATCTCAAGTAGTGTTCTTAAAGTGCTTATGTCAAGGTACCTGAAGGATATTCAGACGTTTGCCAGTATGATGAACGCCATTGACATTTTTCTGCTTGTCTGTGTACAGCCTTATTCAGTTAACTATTTTCACAGGATTCGGCTTTAGCACGGATCCTGCTGCTCAGCCTTCTGTCATCTGGTGTACAAGTTCCCAAACTCGTGGGGTCCGCAGCGTCTGTTTCATCCGTGTGTGTGTGGGGGGGGGGGGGGGGGGGGGGGGGGGCACTGACCACTTCACCCTTATTAACCTCGTTCATTCCGCATCTTTATTACTCTAATGTTGAAATTCACTTGGGCACTCAATGTGTACCAGTGATCCTTCCATGTAAGAGTACCTGTCCTTAAGGGGGCACCTTTTTTGGTGTATATGCACAGAGTTGACTTTATTCATGGACTACATCATACATGTAGTATGTATACAGTTTGTCTTTGGTGGACAAAGACAAACTCTTTAGTGCGGGTGGAACAGGAACAAGGGGACACAGGTGGAAACTTAATACCCAGATGAGCCACAGAGACGTTAGAAAGAATTTTTTCAGTGTCAGAGTAGTTAATAAATAGAATGCATTAAGTAGTGTTGTGGTGGAGGCTGACTCCATACACAGTTTCAAATGTAGATATGATAGATCCCAATAGGCTCAGGAATCTATACACCAGTTGATTGACAGTTGAGAGGCGGGACCAAAGAGCCAGAGCTCATCCCCCGCAAACACAACTAGGTGAGTACATGTTGGTTCATTCTGATCAACCCGACTGTGACTCATACGTCAGGCTGCGAGCAGCCACATCAAACAGCCTGGTGGATCAGACCAATAACCAGGAGGCCTGGTCTGAGACCGGATCGCAGGGATATTAATCCCTGGAATCTTCAACAGGTAGCTAGGTGGTCAATAAGCTATTGTTGCGACCTTACGACCTTTACCGAAGTTGGTTAGTGACCAGAAGGTCGGTACGTCTAAAGGTAGCCCTTAGACGATCATTGGTGCGGCGGTCACGGTACTGTGTACGTTTAGCGGTGATCCTGGACGGTATGGGTTCGAATCCTGGCCGAGTCAAATTCTTAGTGATCTATGGCTTAACATGGAGACCCCAAGCTGGATAATGGAATTATGAAGGAACTACTGTCACAGAGAGATGGATTACTGGCAGCCATTTTGAGTGCAGCCGAGGTGTTATATAAGCTGTGTGTGTGTTTGGAGGGATTTTGAGCCGGGAGCCCCAGAATCTGTTGATGTAGAATGCTGATGGTCTGCAAATATCTATAACGTCATGGTATGATTAGTTTATATTAGTTATAATTCTAATTGTCTTCTCATCATTCAAATTGTGATGTAAAGTATGTCAATATCTGTCTTAGCCCTCAAATTCGCTCGGTTATCTGTCTTAACCTCACTAATTTTACAATATATTTCATCTTTGAAACAGTATACTAATTGTCACTCACTTTATGCCTAAAATGTAAATTTTGATTTACATTGTTGTTGACCTGTTTGATGCCGCCAGTATTGTACTGATGTGTACAAGCTCTTGCGAATAACGGTTCTGGTTCTGGTAACGACAATGTATGCGAGCTGTGCTGTCATTGCCACTCTTATGTAATTAATCTTAATGTAATTTTTATGTAAACTTCCCAGTTATAAATGTACAGCCATTTATGGAAAAAGTTTTTTATTTGGCATCATTTGATAAGCCTTCAGCCCAGCTCCGTGAGAAAATGCTCACAATGAAATCATTGTAACGTGACTGTTCTCTGAGAAAATCTGTGAAGCAGGACGGTGGGATCGAACCAGCGTCCTGGGTCACCCCAGACGCGCAAGTGGACTAAATGTGTCATTCTTTACCTTGTCAGTTTTCCTGAATATGTTATAGTTTGTGATCTACTCTCCCGCTTCTACACAGACGTGAGACATTTTCTTTAGTCTATTCTCGGAACTCACACTTTTCAGCTGGCATAACTGAGCTTCGTGTTTCATTTGATGAGATATAGACTCCATTCTAGCGATGCATATTGCAGAATTAGTCTCACATACGTTAGTTAGCTACTCAGAGTTCACAATGAGGTATTGCTTAGATTTGTATAGACAATTTGTATATGGGTGAATATTTCTGATGTTATCCAATATTTGATGCATCAGGATATAGTTTCGGCGTGTTGTCTGGACGAGAGAGGTTATACTTACATAGATGCGCTTACAAAATAATTGTCTTGGAAAATTCGATAGAGCTTCGGCCTTACACGTGTGGGGCCCACGGTTCGAGTCTGCTACAGCCCAGGTGAATGGAATAATTGTCTTTGTTTGTACTTAATTTTTGTGTATTTATATCAGTTTATGTATATGTTTTTTGTTTGAGAGAGAGAGAATATAAATATAAGGTGGCATTAGGCTAGCGCCTAATCCCCAACACCTTACAAATAAACAAAAATCAATAATAACAGATGCATCCACACGGTCAAAATAAAAAAAATGTATAGTACTAACTATACTCTGGAGCGACTCCCCCCTCCAAGGCTTATACAGTGGTAACGCTGTGTGTGGGTGGAGGCACTAGTGGCCTCCATCACACAAGAGAGTGCGGAGGTCGTGAGGGAGTCACATCACAGGAGTCCGGAATGAGGGGCAGGTGTGTGACAACACCAGGACGGAAGTGTGTATCCGGAATAATATTCGAAAATAACAGAATGTAGTCCATGAAATATCAAAAGCTATATTTTCTTAAAGAATCTAACAGTGTACACACACACACACTAATATATATATATATATATATATATATATATATATATATATATATATATATATATATATATATATATATATATATATATAACACACACGACAATTTCATTATGCTTACTGTCCATGTGACATTCTGATGTCTTTTCTAAGCTTGATTTCATTTTTGTTGTGAGCAACATTATCAAATAATGGGACTTAGAAATGCTTTTACAACGAGGTGACGACAACGAGACAAACTGTGATCGTCTCCGCCAGGGGCAGGAGAAACGACGCCATCGGCCAGGGTCACAGGGGCGCCGCGCCGCCCGCCGCGCCCAGCGACGAGCGGCTCCGGCGACTAACGCTGCGGCAGCGGCGGCCAGAGGCAAGGTCACTTGTAGCACTGAAGGTAGACGTGTTGGAAGGACAAGATAAGGAAAGCGGCAGTGCAGATGCTGTCAAAGCTGCTACGCTGACGGAGGTAGGCGCCGGAGCGGTGGTGGGTGGATGGTCGAGCGTGGGTAAGGATAGCACCGGCAGGGAGGTGCAGGAGAACAGTGCTGGACTCGGTGTCGAACTAAAAGATGTATCCGTCTCTCTTAGCGCTCGAGACTCTGAGCTGCTCGGGCGACCAAACACTGTAAACTGCTCATTAGGAAACTCCAGGAGAGATGTGAAGGACTCTCCTGAAGGGGAATGTAGTTGCGAGGAGTAGCCTGACGGAGCAGGGGTGGCAGCCACTGGAAGGGCAGCTGTGGCATTTATAAACACGGAGGGAACATTACACATTGGTTGCGGCAGAGAGGAAGAGGGTGACAAAGCTCCTTCTGGAAATGTAAATGGCTTTGTCAGCCTTAAATTGGAAACTGGAGACGACGGAGCAGAGGCGGTGGTAGGCGAGTCACTGATGCCAGGACTGGCTGGCGGTGATGTGTCTGAGGAAGCAGCAGACGGCGGCGCACCACACGTAAGGGCGGCGGGGAATGTACCTGCGCCCCCTTCATTATGCGTAGCCACAGGTGTGAGGTGCCGTATGGTTGCAACTTCTGAAGAGGGGGCGCAGGAAGGCGGCGCCTGAGGTAGGAAGTCGACTGTGGCGCAGTTGGTGTAGACATGTGGGTCGCTGACGGCGCGCAGCTGGTTTAACCAGCTTTGTGTGGGGAGGTGTTGGACCTCTTGCTTCCCCGGAGTGTGTGTGTCGAAGGTGTAGTACAGCGAAGCGTGCTGCGCCGCACGCTGATGTGGCAGCAGTAGTGGTGATGGTCGAGGATGGGAGGATGGCAGCCGCCCCTCCCTACACACACCATGCCACTCCCTCGCTTCTCGGTCTGGTGTACCTGCCAATCACATACGGTTCTTAAGGGGAGTACATAAGAAGAACGCTAACAATCCTTTTTCGTTCATACCAAGAGATATTGCTCGAGCTTGACATCCTAAGATGCCATAGCGTCTTAAATATGAAATATGAATGGGAACATCCTCTAGCATCTGAATATTTTATTATAATACTTCAAGCTATGTGAACTGAAGAGCTCTGGTCTGAAATTGACCTTGAAAGATTCGTTAGCATCTTGATATGCTTATGCACAATTTACAGACTCGTACTGACAAAGGCTCACATACTTACTGTCATGGCTGAGGTCAGAGGTATTGGTGAGGAGTGCCAGGGGGTAGAGATCTTCTTCGTCACTAGCAGTGCTAAGTGCCAGGGGGTGGAGGTCCTCGTCGTCACTTGCGGCACTCAAATACTGAGCCTCACCTCCGGGCCCGCCATCTTGCCCACTGCCCAACGCAACAGTTAAGTGTCATTGAAATACAAAGAAACATCAAAACTGCTTGAACAGTACAAGTTCTAGCAGCATAACAGACCCTAGGAACACCAGGTCAGGTGTGTATGGGCATTACATGTAAATGTTTCCTTCAATTAACCCTCAGAGGGAGCAATTCCCTCAGCTCGGTGTCACCAACATACGCAATTCTTAATATTTGTTATAAGTTTAATCTTTGCAAGAAAAAAAAAAAATCCATATATTTGGATATACAGAATTTCTTATTAATTATATTCTGATATCATTATCAGTTCTTGAAATTTACATAGCTACCCTTCAGTTTGTGTTTTCCTTTCTAGAAGGAATCAGAGAAAACGTTAAGTAAATGTGGATGCCACATACCCCAAGATTGTCTTAATTAATAACTACTGTCTTACTAACTTAATTAATAACTTATGCATAATAACATGGTTTATTGCTTTATTAAATAATATGACCTGGAGAGATGCCAAATGTTGGGAGCTATAGGTATTTATAAGGGAAACTCAACATCCTTTAAATTTTGTAGTATAAAACATCATATAACGTGAGCAGCACTCAAAGGGTTAATAAAGCTATATTTCATGACAATATTTGAGAACAATAAAATTATATATTAGAACAATTGCATACTGTATTGATAATATATGTGTTCTGTGTGGCAAACAGTCATTGGAGCTTTCTCACCTCGGGTTTGTGGCCATCAGGCTGTGGAAGAACGATACCCGTTCGAATCTCTCCTCAAAGTGGTCACTCACATGCTGTGAACACCGGTCAACACAATATAATACTGAACTATGAGACATGTAGAGTTATCCAATACTGTACTGATTCATATTATAGAATATTGAATTTTGATAATCAGAGTTGACTCCCATGCACTATAATATATGTAGAGGGGCATGCAGAGAGTAAGTTCCAATAACGCGCTGAACGAAATAAACCAACCCCCACAAATTAAATTAAATGAGACAGGCAACGTTTGGGTCCAGGACGGTCAGTAACGTCGTCACTTTTATTTTATTTCATGTGTGGGTTGGTTCGGTTATGCGTTGGGTGATGGGCCTCAGGCGGAAAAGCAGGACGGTGCCAATTGTAGGCCTAGATTATGAGGCCGGTAGTGACTGGAGGTTGGGACCTATCTTGGGAAACAGTGATAGTATCACACGCAATGATGACGTGCATGAGAGTGTGGAGTGAGCGTCATAGTCACCTTGAGGAGGAAGCTGGCGACGGCGCTGAAGGAAGGCCTGCGGGCGGGGTTGTAGTTCCAGCAGCGACGCATGACCGTCAGGAGGGGCAGGGGGCAGTGTGGCGGCGACCCCAGCCTCGCCCGCTGCTCCACCACTAGTCGCATCACCTCGTCGTTGGTGTTGTTCTGACGGACACACATATACATGTATGAGATTACTTGGTACCATTCAAGTTCAAGTTCAAATATGTTTATTGAGACAAGAAAGAAATACATCTCAAAGGGATAGAGTAACTTAGGCTATTTCTACCCCCCCATATTGTAAGCTGCCTTCTTCAATGAGCTGCACTCAACATTACCACAATAACCGCCCTGCGTGAGTGGTCACGAGTGACGGCCCTCATCAAGGCTAAAGAGAACACTGTATGATGTAGCTCGCAGTCTCAAGCACCATAATTTGCTCTACGAATCACATGATCGATTCACCGAAACAAAATTACCTCAACGACTAAAATGCAACAAAACACTACTGCCTTTCTTAATACAAATACAATTCTCAGACGACCAACCTTGTAAGGCGTGTCTCCCCTCGTCGCCATCTCCCACAGGAGGACGCCGTAGCTCCACACGTCACTCTGGCTGCTATAGACACTGAACTGCAAACTCTCAGGGGCCATCCATCGTACCGGCAACACCCCGTGACCTTCTGTGGGCACCGGAGTGGTGTTTTGCAGATATAAGTCGTTCATGAGCTACGTAAGATATGTTTGGGGGTCACACATGTATGTGTGTGGGTTTACTTCTCGCTTCTTTCATCGTCACTATAAACAAGTCGAGCTCCAAACCCTTGGGCAAGACCAGACCAGCAGGTAATGGCGGTGCTTCCAAGCTTGATATATTTATAGAGTAAAGGTCTGTTGAGGGTAATGTGAGCAGTGATTTAGGATATTAAAATGTATATTGATACTAAAGAACTAATCCATTAGCACCGCCTCTTTCTTTCTGGTCTGCTTATGTACGTCGTTGATGAGGGTTTCATGAGACACAATGATGAGGATGCCTTAAAGTTTCTCTTGGATGTTAAGAAGTATAGTAAGTCAAGTGAGGCAGAGGAATTTATCAGCGAATTTATGAGAATGGAAATTTATGGAAAACGAAAGTTTGAGCAAGTGAAGTTGCAGTTAACTTCTGAGGACATTTTAAACGGCCACACAAACAATGCAAAGGATATAGAAGCGGGAAACGAGAATTATACAGATAAAAATTGTACTTAATGAAGCAAGATAAGACCAATACACAGTCCACCATCGCCAGACAGTACAATACCAACGCCCAGTACTCACTATACCACCAGAAAGCACCACCACTCACCCTTCCTATAATAATTTGACTGGAGGTTCCTGGAAAGACCAAAGTCGCCAATCTTGAGCGTGAGGTTGTGGTCAAGTAGACAGTTTCTGGCGGCCAGGTCACGGTGCACCAGCCGACGCCAAGCCAGGTACGTCATCCCGTCTGCGGCCTCCAACGCCATCTCCACCACTTTCTGCAACAACGCCCAAATGTGCTTTCGCATAATTTATTGCAAAGGCAACAGCTTTGTGATGTCCTGAATCATTAGGAGTGACGGTGTGGAAAGTTGAGGTTGTTCCACAACACGAGAACTCCCGAAACTTGGAAGCTGTGACGATCTTCACACATCATTAAATTCACTTCTTAAAGTGAACTTAGAGATTTCTTCAACTTAGATGTCACTGTAGCTACCATGGCATAGTAATTATAATGACTCGCAGACTCGCAAGGTTCGGAGTTCGATCTCCACGCATCACTTTGTACTGTTCTTTACTGTTGCTTACTGTTGTACTTTACCAGGTTGACCTACTAGGAAAACCTTTGTGTATAAGAATTAGTCAACATATATATAAAAAACTGAATAATTAAGTGATGGCATGTATAAAAACAGCAATATAGATAATATGGTAATTGAAGGAGGTCCAGTAAAAACATCTCAAAGAGGTTAATAAGTGGCAGGGATATGTATAATGCCCTTAATTATATATATAATGCTCTTAATTATATGTATAAAGTCCTTAATTTAGGGCTGGGAAGGCTGCCCTCTCCTCACATGCCCTAATCTCACCTGGTCGGAGATGAGGCGTCTGTGGTGCTTCTTCAGGTAGGTCTTGAGGTCCCCCTTCTGCATGAGTTCCATGACGACGTAGACGGGGGCATAGTCTCCCACGACCCCCAGCAGCCTCACGACGTGGTGACACTCTATCTCCCTGGGCGGGCAACAACACCGGTCACTCGCTGTCATACTAGTCAACAACACCGGTCACTCGCTGTCATACTAGTCAATAACACCGGTCACTCGCTGTCATACTAGTCAACAACACCGGTCACTCGCTGTCATACTAGTCAATAACACCGGTCACTCGCTGTCATACTAGTCAACAACACCGGTCACTCGCTGTCATACTAGTCAATAACACCGGTCACTCGCTGTCATACTAGTCAACAACACCGGTCACTCGCTGTCATACTAGTCAATAACACCGGTCACTCGCTGTCATACTAGTCAACAACACCGGTCACTCGCTGTCATACTAGTCAACAACACCGGTCACTCGCTGTCATACTAGTCAATAACACCGGTCACTCGCTGTCATACTAGTCAATAACACCGGTCACTCGCTGTCATACTAGTCAATAATACCGGTCACTCGCTGTCATACTAGTCAATAACACCGGTCACTCGCTGTCATACTAGTCAACAACACCGGTCACTCGCTGTCATACTAGTCAATAACACCGGTCACTCGCTGTCATACTAGTCAACAACACCGGTCACTCGCTGTCATACTAGTCAATAACACCGGTCACTCGCTGTCATACTAGTCAACAACACCGGTCACTCGCTGTCATACTAGTCAATAACACCGGTCACTCACTATCATACTTAGTAACCACCAGATTTGTACAACCCATTCTCCTAAAATGATAGTACTTGTAGTAACTATTTGGTCGAATGTACAAAAATGACTGTTGGACCCCCCCCCAAAAAAAAGGTTCATGTTTTCAATTAATAAATTAGCCCAAATGGCATATTATGAAAATGGAAATGTAATTAAAGAACCAATAACCTTTCCAATTAGCCCTAGGCCTAATAATGCGTTATCGTAGGTCCTAATATAGTTATCAAGACTTAATATAGCCTCACGACCTAATATAGTCATCAAGACTTAATATAGCCTCACGACCTAATATAGTCATCAAGACTTAATATAGCCTCACGACCTAATATAGTTATCAAGACTTAATATAGCCTCACGACCTAATATAGTCATCAAGACTTAATATAGCCTCACGACCTAATATAGTTATCAAGACTTAATATAGCCTCACGACCTAATATAGTCATCAAGACTTAATATAGCCTCACGACCTAATATAGTTATCAAGACTTAATATAGCCTCACGACCTAATATAGTCATCAAGACTTAATATAGCCTCACGACCTAATATAGTTATCAAGACTTAATATAGCCTCAGGACCTAATATAGTCACCAAGACTTAATATAGCCTCACGACCTAATATAGGACATATTATGTCCTATATTTTGCCTTGGGAGGTTGTCGTTCGGTTTTTTATTTTATTTTTATTTTTTTAGCCACAAAATTAATAGCACAAAGTTTGAGCTTTTTTATATGTTCGACAAATAGTTGCTAAGTGGTACCATTATATAAGGGTAGCCTGGGGCTGGGTGCTTTTGCTTTCTCGCGATATTTTAAAAATGATTATTTAACATATTTTTAAATGTTAATGGTCTAAAATATTTATAAATGTTCTGTATTGAAGCTTCATTAACAACGTAACATTTTTTTTTTAAATATAGCTAACCAGCTGTATTCAAAATAATGATAATAATTTATAGTAAAATGTTCTCATCATTTTAGGCTTCATATCTCCTGAGCAACTCAGTAAAGTTAGTCAGTTGAAAATGTTCTCTTAGACTTCATATCTCCTGACCAACTTTCTTAATTGACAGTGTTCTCGATTTCGTCGGATTCCGTCTGCTGAACTTTTTCTAGCGTTCACAGTGTACCCATAGTTGTGCGAGGTGTTAGTTAAGCAAGTCTCAGCTGTGTCTGGGTACAAGTGACAGGATGAACAACCCAGCGGGTTTTCTTCCTATTGGGGAGTGTTGTACATGCTGCTAAGGCAGTGTGTTCACTCACAGGATGAGTGGCCCTGACCAGTAAACTCACCCCTTGGGGGTAACCGTAAACTTAAAAAAGGTCTGGCGAGACCCACCCACAGTATAGGGAGCCCGCCGCCAGAGTCCCTGAAGCCGAGCCTCAAATTATTTAAAGCGCCTAGCCTCAAAGTTCTTAATGCATAATAACTCTACCAGAAGTCGACACATGTTCCAGGATTTGTATCCTCACCTCAGTGTGAGAAACTAAATAAATAACCAAAATTTCGTGTCATTTATCATAGACAGAATTACGATGTACCTAAATTTGTAATTATATTTGCACCCAACAAATAGTTTCAAGCCACAATGCACGCTGTATATATTTTCAATAATTATTTGCTTTATTTATTTAGATTATAGTGTAAAAGAGAATACATATAAACTAACAGATTATATGTGACAAATTGCCACTTTAAAATCAACACATTTTGTTCCGAGTAGCTGAATCTAAAACAACAGGACTCACTGCATGACGGCAGCTTCCTTGAGGAACCTAGCAATCTGTTCCGTCGAGGCTGTGTCGCTGTGGGTCTTGACGGCCACCCGCTTGCTCACGCCCCCTACCCGCAGCTCACCAAGGAAAACCATGCCGAAGTACCCATGTCCCAGCGGTGCCTCCACCTGTACCTTCAAGTCGTCGCGCCATACGATAAACTCTTCACGAAACATCTCCGAGGGCGCGAAGCCTTCTGCAGGGAGAAGGAAGATGAGAGGGCGGTGGCGGTAGCGTTGGAAGGAGGAGGAGAAGGTTGAGAAGGAAAATAAGTAGGAGGGCTATTATCATTACATTCGTTATGCTCACAGTGGAAGTATGTAATATACAGGATATCGCAATATTTACTTATATTTAACTCCATTTATCTGCAAGCTGGTGGTATTGGCGAGGCTGTAAGTGGGTACACAAAGTACGAACTACAAAAGTGCAATAGGTAGACAGAATTTGTGAGCAAGGGAAAAAAAGTTGTGCGAGTTTAAGTCGACTGCTTGTTGATTGATCCTTACCTCGGTAGAAGGGGTTCACATCCACTTGGTCGAGGGTGGTGGGGATGGTGTTGGCGTTGTAGGAGCGTTTCCACCACCATGCCACAACACAGCTCACCACCACCACCATCGCTACCACCACCACCACCACACTCACCCACCGCTTCTCATCACCCTCCCTGGCCATAATTCTGTCCTGGAGAATACACGGGACACAATAATAACGGCATTACAGGTAAGATTTAACCCACCCATTCCCACCAAGGATACTAGCATACTCTAAAGGAGGGCCAGGGTAATGGGATGATCCCCTTGAGACGTAGATTTTCAAATTGTGCCTGTCAAAACCTATATGTCTTCAACAGACACACTGTCCTTCGCTAACAATCCATGATCCTATACAAAGCACACAACAATCAACAAAAATGACAAAGAAAAAATAAAGATTAATTTCTTGAAGAAAAAGGTTTCGGTGAGCCAAATCCATGTAAACACCTAACTTACTGACAGCTAAAATGGCAAAATGATAGCAGGGCAAGGTAGTTGGGTCGTGGGGTACCACCAGAGGTCGAACGAAGACCCACCAAGAGGCTAGGCTGCTGCAGGGCAACCAGTCTAAATGGCTGGAAAATACAATAGTAAAGAATCCCATTGACCACATTTGGAACATCATCATCACCAAATCATTACGACTGACGCGGCTATCACATTAGGTTTGTGTGGTATCTCATGTGATGTGAAATAAATGTAAACGAGTTATGATAAGTAAACATGTTCTCTTGACTGATGACGCGAGGCTGGAAGGCGCTATTGGGCTGTCACAAGTTTAATGGTACAACCAAGACGACCAAAAGTTGCTAATTAGTGATGTGGCGACCATTCTTAAAGGTGAGGACAGGTGTTGAAATATTCCATCAAATCGTCCAGTAATTCATAAGTATAAAAGAACACTCAGAGCGTATTAAAGTCGTAGCAATATATAGCTATAAAGTATAGTACAAAATTCTTTACCTCGGGGTAAAGAATGGTTTATAGGCAACACAGAAGTTGAAAACATTGTAGTGATTCTTATTAAACCTGATTAACTGGGCACCATTCAAGCTGTTGTTGCCTAGTAACAAGACTGTGGGCAGGCGGCCGTCTTATATTGAAAGCCTCACTCTAGAGACCGCCACAGGTAACACAACTGACCCCAGGACCAGAGGCAACTAGACCAGAGGTCATATTGACGCTCAAATGATGCAAATAATTACTGAAACCCAAGTAATTTAAACGGTAACAAATTGAGAAATGTGACGATATTTGCGACGGTGCCACGTATCCAATAGATCAACAATAAATTTCAATATATTTATAAATCCATCCACTTACGGCATAATTTATAATTACCATAAAATATTTAAAGTCATAAGTTTGCTTAATAGTTATATTTAAGACAAAACCAAATAAACATAAAAGGAATAGCGCGGGAAGACATGACACCTCTCGGCCGCCTTGCTCACCTCACCGACTCCCACAACAAGCTGTAAACCCAGCCTTAACGTGTACGTTAGAGCCTCCAGTGTGCGTGTGTGTACACTAGTCAGTCCAAGTGAGGTGTGAAGTACAAGAAGAACGAAGCTAGTGTTAAGGGAGGTGTTAGAAGAGTGAAGAACACTTGAGGACAGCCAGGCAGGTCTCACCACCACCAGTCACAGCTGTCATTATTTTTTAATTTTTTTTTTACTGATAAAAGATCCCAAGTACAAAACAGAAAAAGGCACAATAACAATACATGAAGACATTCAGGGGAAACATACAGGGAAAACATAACAATGGAATACACCATGAACACATGAAAAACAGACCAAACATACATAAACCCCAAAAGTGAAGGAATCATGGTACAAAACAGGAAACCCCGAAACGGACACTGGATACATAACAAAAGGAGAACACAAAAAATAATACAAGAAATAAATAGCAAATAACATAAAATACAGCCACACCCATAACAATGAAGAGCAAAAATACAAAAAACTAACAACCACAACCACCCCAACCACCCAAACACAGGCACATATTAGTACATAAAACATTAGGCCTCGCAAACCCCAAGCACAGAGGCAAAAACACAATAAGAAACATGAAAAAACACAGTAACAAAACAGCACCTAACAGGCACACGCAGGAGCCGGGAATAAACACCCACGCACACACAAACACAGCCAGTCACACGCACCCAGGCAGAAAGCCAGAAGCACAGAAACACCACCAACCCCAAGGACTACACATATTTATCCGGGTACTCCTGCACCGGAAAGCGCAGGCAATAAGCCTCCCAAACCGCCATTTGAACATCAGAGCACCGGGGCCCCCTCTCCCAGGAACAGGAGCAGAGGCCCCCGATGCCCATCCTTCTTCAATATCACGACGAGGTCTCGGGCACCAGGGGCAACCTCCCACGGAGGGGAGCCAACAGCAGAAGGCGAAGGGCTTGATACAGGAGGCAACTCAGAGCCCGCCACTGCATCCTCATCCATGTCTGCACACTCATCCGCCCACGCACGAGGGAGCGACACAACCCGGTCCGTCGGGGAATGCTTCGGAACAGGTCTGAGGTCATCAGAACTATCGCCCCCCACAGGAGGCACCCGAGAAGAGCCAGCGGCAGGCCGCCCCACATCCAGGAGCGCACTACTGCGCAGAAGGGCACCCTCAACAACATGGGGGATAAGGCCTCTACTGGGGAGACCGGAGTCGGAGAGACAACAGGCGCAACTGATGACAAGGAAGGGGCCCGCACGGGGAGGGATCCCTCGATGATAGCAGGACGGGCAGAGGAGCAGGAGCGAGAACAGGTGAAGCATCTGTCGGAGGCGAAGGGGTAAGCTGCGAGGGCGGCGCCGTACACACCACCACCCCCTCACGTACAGAGCGAGGATCTACAGTCGAAGCACTACATGAGCGCAAGGGAGGAAAATCAGCCGCATGAAGTACAGAAGGCTCCATCGTGTGAGGGATGCTGCACCCGGCCGCAACGTGGCCCTCTTTACCACACCTGAAACAGGTGCGCGACTGGCCCTGATAGAATATTCTTATGGATAGCCCGCAGAGGAAAACCCGGGAAGGGATGTCGACGGTGAGTTGCATGCCAAGCGTTTGCACTCCAAGACGGAGTCCCTGCAGCCTCCCAGAACGTAAAAAGTTGAATCGATGCGTCACCACCGCACCAAACCTGGCAAACTCGGAACGCAGTTCCCGCTCTGGGAAATCCACCGGCACACCGTGCACACTCACAAAAGTCAGCGGGCCCCATGGATCCGTCACCCGCACAGTCACAGGAGAATCAGGTAGCGTAAACGTCTCATCATTGAAGAGGCGCACAAAATCCAGGTAGTGGGCTGACGTGGCAAATTTCACCGCAATACGCATAGACGTAAGTTTCTCCAGGTCTAGAAGATCGGCGACCTTCACATTCAAAACGTCCAATAACGCGACTGCTACGAGAGGCCAGTCCACAGGAGCTGAGAAAGCAAGCCCCACAGTATCTACACGGCGAGCGGCCTACTCCCAGCCGCCAGCTGACACGCCGGTCAGCGGGCGGACCAAACCACCCCCACGCAGCGCCAAACAACCACTGGGAACGCGAGTGGCGACGACTGTCCCCTCCAGTGGCGAGGCCTGGACTCAGCAACTGTCATTATCGTACTTTCTCATTACATATTCTATCCTCCTGAAGGATAGAACTATAGCTACCATGGATATAATAGAACTATAGCTGCTGTGAATAGAATATACAAAATATGAACGTGTTCCCACCAAATGTTCGTTTTGCAGTTCCTGATAAAAAAAAGTTTGACAGTAAAGAAACCTAACCTATCACAGGCCTAATTAAGCTATCCTAGGCCTAAACATAGAGAATCATAGGCCTAACTTTGTGTATATAATTACTATCATCAGTAGTATCTATAGATACGACCATCCATAGTAACTGTATGACTATGTTTGGATACCCTGTTGTGTTTTTATATACGGGATATATTCATTTGAAACAACACTACGACTTGTTTGAGTTGCGCTCTAGCTGCCGTGAGGTGAGAACGTATCGCCTGGCCTCTCTGGTAGTTTGGGGTGTTTGCCGTTTTTGCCGACAGGGGTGGGGGTGTGTCTACCTTCCCTGCTGTTCCTGGCTGGTGTGGACGTGGCACTTTTGACATGGGCGGCCATCTTCCCCTTGTTGTGATGGGTAAACTCCGTGGGTTTGGTGTTTACGGGGCGTGCAGGTTATCCTGTCGTGGAGGTGGTCAGGTGTGACATGCTCCGTATTCCGGTTGTGGACATCTACGGAGTTGAGCTAGTAACTGTTCACCGTGTGGTTATCAAGTTTGTGGGGGAAGCACCGTACCATGATTTTCTCCGGAGGTACGAGGGGCATACCTTGCAGCTGCCGAATGGCGCCGGATCTGTGTCTATATCGGATCGCAGTGGTGCTATGACGTATGTGAGTGTCCATGAGGCCCCCATGGAGTTTCCCGAGTCGCTCCTCCGGCGCTTCTTCCAGCGGTTTGGCACCATCGTCAGTGTGCGGATGCACTCGTTGTCTTCTGGCCAGCATGTGGGAGTGAAGACCAATATTCGTACCCTAGGGATGCGCCTGCGGTCGGACATTCCATTGTCTGTCCGGCTTTTAGGGTACTACATACGGGTGTACTATGCACGGCAACCGCGGACGTGTTTTCGTTGTGGCCTGTTGGGCCATCAAGCTGCCGGGTGCACTGAGGCTGCGGTTGCTCCCGTGAACATGTTCAAAGAAGAGGATTTCCCGCCGCTCCCTCTGGAGGAGGACTCCGGGGGGTGAGGAGGTGAGTGTCCCGTTGGATGCTGCGGCTCCCCCTGCTCCACCTGCATCGCCTGTTCTTTCTTTGGTTGTTGAGGACCCTCCTCCTGATGTTGCCGTGCCGTCGGATGTTCTTCCTGATCCCGTCGCTGTCCCCGCTGCTCCCGATGACCTTCTGGGCGATCTCTGTGCGTCGTCGGCGCTCTCCTCTTCCTCGTCCTCTGCTCCTGCGCCTGGCCTTGCGCCTTCGCCTTGTGTTCCGTCTGTGATGGGTGCTGGGGTGGCGGTGCCGCCGCCTGCTGTGTGCGGTCCGGTTCCACCTGTGGTTGAAGCTGCTGCTGTTCTATGTCGGGCGGCGGTTCATCCGGCAGCTAGTGCCTGTGTTTCTGGGTCCGCATCCGGCTCGGACGATGTCCGCTCAGAGCCCAAACGTTCCCGGCTGTCGTCTTCGGCCTGGGCTGATGTGGGTGACTTCGGTGACTGTGGGTCTTCGGGAGTTGAGGTGAATCCGGTTGCGTCGATGTCTACGGAGTTAGAGGTGGCGGAGGTCCATGTGCCTGCTGGTGCTGGTGCCCGTGTATCGGCCGTGCCTTCTGTTCCTTCGCCTCCAGGGGGCTCGCCGCGGTGGGGGGGTGGTGGCTTCTGCTGCCAGGGATGGTATGGATCCTGGTCCTGGGCGTGGCCTCGTGGTTACCTTACGGAAGGATGCGCGCTGCGGGTGCCCCTGTGGTGGTGCCCTCTATCCGGCCCCCTCCTGTGACGGAGTGCGTTGGGGACCTGGAGGACATGTTGCCGGCGTCTGTGATGCCGTCGGATCACTGGACGTTGATTGCCGAGTTAATACTGTCGGACGAACCGGACTGCTTTCATGCTGGGCAGGTTCCCTTTGTGTGGGTATGCGTGGCGACTACGCGCCTCGTCGGTACTACCATCTGGGTTCCCTGTGTGCGGGTGTTTGTTGCCAGGGTTCCGGAGGTTATGGCTTCACCAGTGGATGAGCTGGACCCTAGGGGGTGGTTACTCTGGGAAGCTTTCAATGTGCAGTTCCCGGGCAAGTATGTTCCCTAATTATCTGTTTCTTTGATTATGTAAGGCTTTGAGTCCCCCTGGCTGTAATGTTTGCAATGTTGTGTTCTGTGCTCGTGCCTCTCCTTTTGTTTATTGCGAGGCCAGTGGTTAGTTGAGTGTTCTTGTTTATATGTTTTGTGTTGTAAGTGTGCCCTATGTGGCTTGTATTTTTTATTATTGGCTTGTTGTATATTTTGTTTTCTTGTTATATTTTATGTTGTCATATTTCTGTACTACCTGTACGTTATGATAATTGTTAGTTTTGTTTCATGTGTTATTTTGTTTTGTGCATTGCTTGCTTGTTTCCATTGTTTTCTCATGTGTTCTGATTTGTCTTGATGTATGCTGTTTTTCTCTAGTTATGCTTGTTGTTTAGTCTATGCTGTCGGTCCTTCTGGTCAATGTTTTTTTGTTTTTGCTTTGTTATTATGTTTTATTGTATTTATTGTATTTAACTTGCATGCTTGCATGAAAAAAAAAAACGTTTATAATTCAAATACGATAATCCGTGACAAAGTTTACAGTGTATAGCATGAAATGATTCAGCAAAATGTTGTTCACGGAATATCATGTTTGCCTCTAAATCCTGTAACGCTTATCATGAACGGATGATCATGCATACATGTATTTAGCAAACAAAACAAAATAGATTAACGAGCTGGTTCGTTTTGAGGCTTCGACCCGTCTTCTCGAATTACCACATCGTATTTTGACGTATAAATCTCCTAAAGGCCTAAAATTAATACACTAACAATCGTATACAAAAAAAAAAAAAATTGACATGATGTTCCATTTTCTATTCGTGGGTGCTCTGGTAGGTTAGGTTCGGGCAATTTAGGACATCATTTTAGGGACGTTGTGAGCCCTGGAGAGGACAGGGCGCATGAGTACAGAATAATTGTCGAGAATAAGTTAGGGTTGTCGTACAACCGTATTTCCAGGACATATCCTGGAATCAGGTGTCAAAATTTGCTTACGGGAAGAATTTACAAAATTCTTTAAAAGTCCGGAATTTCAGCTTCCATCACTTAAAATATTTTCTATGTATATATTTTACCTATATTAATTTATATATATATATATATAATATATATATATATATATATATATATATATATATATATATATATATATATATATATATATATATATATATATATATATATATTAGTATATTTTGGTAGCAGTCTTTCCTGTAGACATATATTATTAAATATGACCGAAAAAGTAAGATTAATAATTCTAACACGAATTTTCTCTATCTTTCTTACGTTTCTTTTCACTGTTGATGGTAATTCAAAGATCAATTCTCCAACATTCATTTTTATTTCTAGTCTGACGCGACACTTGAGCGCGTTTCGTAAAACTTATTACATTTTCAAAGACTTTAGTTTACAAACACACAACTGAAACTGAATAGAGCTTACACATCTTCGAGTTTATATCTACATTTGGGTGAGGTGGATGAGGTGAAAACAAACTTTCAACAATGGGTATTGAATGGGTATTAAATTCAGACACAAGACAGAACACGAAACAATGGGTATTGAATGGAAGTAATTGTAGAAAGCCTATTGGTCCATAATTCTTGATGCTTCTATATTGGAGCGGAGTCTTGAAGTGGGTAGAATATAGTTGTGCATTAATTGGCTGTTGATTGCTGGTGTTGACTTCTTGATGTGTAGTGCCTCGCAAACGTCAAGCCGCCTGCTATCGCTGTATCTATCGATGATTTCTGTGTTGTTTGCTAAGATTTCTCTGGTGATGGTTTGTTTGTGGGAAGAGATTATATGTTCCTTAATGGAGCCCTGTTGCTTATGCATCGTTAAACGCCTGGAAAGAGATGTTGTTGTCTTGCCTATATGCTGTTTTTTTTTGAGGCTTACAGTCCCCAAGAGGGCATTTGAAGGCATAGACGACGTTGGTCTCTTTTAAAGCGTTCTGCTTTGTGTCTGGAGAGTTTCTCATGAGTAGGCTGGCCGTTTTTCTGGTTTTATAGTAAATCGTCAGTTGTATCTTCTGATTTTTGTCTGTAGGGATAACGTTTCTACTGACAATATCTTTCAGGACCCTTTCCTCCGTTTTATGGGCTGTGGAAAAGAAGTTCCTGTAAAATAGTCTAATAGTGGGTATAGGTGTTGTGTTAGTTGTCTCTTCAGAGGTTGCATCTGCCTGTGCAAGGTCCTTGAGAGGATTGTTTTCAGTTGGCTAATGATGGAAATCAAAAGTCAACTCATTTCTAACCATTTCTAATGGCTTTTTTCCCTGGGAGAAGTATACAGTCTTGCTTTGCTGAGTACTTCATCAGACAGGAACCAAACATTCACTTTGCCTTTCTTGATCTTCAATCTGCTTTTAACACAGCAAATAGGGAACTCATCCTGGAACAAATAGATCTTTTTTTTTGGAGTTTGGGGAGATTTGTTGAAATGTATTAGGGGTTATTTAAATAACAGAACTGCCGGAAATCATCTGTAAGGGGGTTAAGAGTAGTCATAATACCTCCTCTGAATGTGCAAACTTCAGAGAGGAGGCCTCAGTCCTACGCTTTTCAATGTGCTGATGCCTAGACTAATAGCTGACATACCCACACAAGTAGATGATGCAACATCGATCTATGTAGATATGCTGACTGAAGTATAGGTATGCTTACTACGTATGTAGCTGACAGAAGTCTTGGCCGCATTATAAGGGAATGCAGCTAAGACTTGAGTATATGTGGTAACAAAACTTAAAATATCTCGCTGGAAATTGACGGCGGAAGGATTAGGCTTTACAACATTCGCGCAGTGAGCGGTCAATGTGGTTCCCTCCGCATCCCTAAGCTACTTACCCGCCCCTGACTTCTTCCATGTAATCTTCACAAGGGTAATTTATTGTTTATGTAAGATTAATTTGACATCTTTATATATATGCAGTTCTCGCCTTAACGTATGTGACTAGGCAGTTATTTTTTTTTTTACAATTTCACAGTTAACAAGAGCTGCATGTTTACATGTGTACACAATATACTAGGATGTGTAAACTGATTTTGAATGATGTAAATTGGTGTTTTGGTGTAAACTGATTTTGAATGAAATACTTCGGGAGTATTTTGGGTCTTGTAATGACTTTGCTAACAAATTGTATCGAAATATTTCTGCCTGAATGTAAATATTCAGGCAGAAATATAATACACTACTTCCCTTGCCCAACGAATTTAAGAATAAATTAATACACATTAAAAGATTCACATACATATATGATTGACAGGCGTTGACAATTGAAGAATCCGTATATTCATTGAGGCAGATAAGGGGGACTATTGTTTGATTTGATGAATGGCATCAACAAGATCTATAAGGTCTATTCGCAACACCTTGAATAGCCTATGGACGTGAACTATGGATCACTGAACTGGGTCAAGGTTCATTGAACCACTGATGCATGGACCAAGAACCACTAAAACTATCCCTGAACCATCGACCATAGACTTCAAATCCATCCCTGCAAACACACAGCGTAACGGTCCCCTATTGTTACCTTATTACAACTTGTTACAAAGCGGTTACATCTTGTTTTTAAGTATTTATGACATGTTAGAAGGTTGTTACAACGTGCTAGAAACTTGTTACTACTTGATATAACCACTGCGCCTCCACGCCATACTAATGAGCGGAGAAAAAGACAAATGCGAGCGAGCAATGTTGCTCTCACCTGGAGGAGGCAGGAGATGGGTGCAGAGTAGTGGCCGTAGCCCGCCCTGGACCTGACTCTCACCCTGAAGGTGTAGTTGCCGGGAGCCAGGTCCTCCAGCTCCACCCCTCCGCCCGCGGCCTCGTATTCACTCACAGACACACACCGCGTCCTCTGACTCTGCGAACAATAGATGGGCTAAGTGTTAAACAATAGACTATTAAAGAATAGATTTACTTGAATATACACGATCTATTGTACAGTTATGCCGATAGAGATTATTATATATATTCCATAAGACCATGTAGGTGATTAGAAATCGGGTAGTTAACTAGTTGCTTTGATAATTGCTATACAAAACTGAAAGTCTGCAAAGATACAGACGGGGTGTTCCCTCTCCCTTTATCTTATTTACATTCTTACATGTATTTTGTAATATTGTTTACGTTCCACCAAATTGATGCGTTTCTTGTAGCTGTGACTTGTTTTGCACAGCCAACCCCCTCTGTCGGAGGGCCCGTGAAGCTTAAGACGAGTATGTAGTTAATATTGGAGAGTTGGACGCCACTAATGGCGGCTGAGAGTCGTGTGTGAACCAAGAGAATTGGTATTAGGCACTGGGAACACCACTCCCACCAGTGTTGGTACTGGCGGAGGCACTTACCAGAACTGTTTCTATTGGTGGTGTAGGTGGATACCCCCATGAGGGCTACTAGTAGTACTGGTGGAGGTACTAACCCTTCGGGTGCTCCTAGCAGTAGGTATTAACTATAAGTGCTAATAGTTAGGAGGTACTGACCCTTTAAGAACCATTAGTAATGGAGGTGGGCACTTACTCCCATGCTGGTGAACTGGAGGTGGTAGGCGAGGAGTGCGCCGTTGGTTGCCTGCGGAGGCTGCCACCAGACCCTGACGGAGGTGTTGTGGGCGGAGGCAGAGAGGGAGCCCTCTGGCACCGTGTCGGCAGTGGCTGTGGGGGAAGGTGGAGGTGGTGAGGGCGGGGGTTGTAGAGGTCTGGGTGGAGGTAGTGGTGGTGGAGGGAGTTGTAGAGAAGGGAGTGAGTGGTGCTGGAAGGGAACTACCAAGAGAAAGCCCCAAAGCCACCATTACTATATAGCACTTGGAACGGATCAGGATAAGGATTTGGGATGGGACGGGGGGAAGGGAGTGGTGCCCAACCACTTGGACGGTCGGGGATTGAACGCCGACCTGCATGAAGCGAGCCCGTCGCTCTACCGTCCACTCCAAGTGGTACTGGAGTGGTGGCGATGGAGAGGTGGTGGTGGAGTGAGTGGTGATGCTGGAGTGGTGGTGGTGGAGTGAGCAGTGGTGGAGGGAGTTGTGGTGCATGGAGTGGGTGGAGGAGGGATTGAGGGGGTTGAGTTAGTACAGGATCAAACCATCTGCCAAGTCAGCACCACCACAAGATGCTGCCGGGAGGAGCTTCGAGTGCCGCAGTATACTAACCTCATAACCAAATTACAACCATATATACACTATAAGAGTCAATAGCATCAATAAGGAGAATCAAGTGATGATCATGGACAAGTATTAAGACACTCCTAAGCTACAGAAAGATAATGCATCCAGAAATGACTTTTTCTGATCAATCACGTTATTAGGGGTCACGCGAATGATGTCTGAAGGAGAGCTTATATCTATGTGTGAGAAAATCTTGTGAAGCAGAGCGGTGGATTCGAACTAGCGTCCTCAATTGCCTCAGAACTGCACCTTAGCCATGGCCCGCCCTACTCCAAAGATTTTCCCATATATGTATATTACGATTTCAATGTGGATTATTTCAATTATTGCTCTTCAAGAAGGGGGAGATCTTACTGCTCGGAGCAGTGGTGGCGACTGTCATGGCGGCCACACTGGAACACAGCTTGCACGGGACCCCTCTGCCTTCAGCAGGCGGGTGGGCAGTGGGCGGGGCAGTGGGCGTGCAGGTGGTGGGTGCCTGACACGCCACCACGCCCACCAGGTAGTGGGTGGAGTGCCGCAGGTGGTGAAGGGTGAGGCGGCGTGTTCGGGATATCTCTTGTACCACCCTCAGCGTACCTGCGCGATCATTAAAGATATCATTGTAGTTCCTGTACAGTGGCCAAGATGTTTATCCAAGTTACTAAAGTAGCGGTACAATGACCAAGGTATCTATAATGAGCAAGGTATCTATAATGAGCAAGGTATCTATAATGAGCAAGGTATCTGTATAACTAAATATAGACATGTCTTTCCTGTTTAATAGGCATTCATAAATCCGCTAATATAAATTTGTTAATGATTATACAACATGTCCCCTGTTGAGGAACCATTGTGTAGAATATACACACTGAACAATACATAAACGTTTATATTTGCGGCGTTTTGTTGACTGGAATGAGACACAATGTCTCATGAGAATGAGACATTGGGGGGTGGGGGGTGTGGGGTTCAGAGAGGTTTGTTGAAGTAGTGAGATAACAGAAGCTGTATAGTGGGTTGGGTCATCGGATTGTGCATGCACTGTGATGTGGTGTGGCGCGTGGTGTAGTGTGTGTGGTGTGGCGCGTGGTGTGGCGCGTGGTGTGGCGCGTGGTGTAGTGTGTGTGGTGTGGCGCGTGGTGTGGCGCGTGGTGTAGTGTGTGGTGTGGCGCGTGGTGTAGTGTGTGGTGTGGCGCGTGGTGTAGTGTGTGTGGTGTGGCGCGTGGTGTGGCGCGTGGTGTAGTGCGTGTGGTGTGGCGCGTGGTGTAGTGTGTGTGGTGTGGCGCGTGGTGTGGCGCGTGGTGTAGTGTGTGGTGTGGCGCGTGGTGTGGCGCGTGGTGTAGTGTGTGTGGTGTGGCGCGTGGTGTAGTGTGTGGTGTGGCGCGTGGTGTAGTGTGTGGTGTGGCGCGTGGTGTGGCGCGTGGTGTAGTGTGTGGTGTGGCGCGTGGTGTGGCGCGTGGTGTAGTGTGTGTGGTGTGGCGCGTGGTGTGGCGCGTGGTGTAGTGTGTGGTGTGGCGCGTGGTGTAGTGTGTGGTGTGGCGCGTGGTGTGGCGCGTGGTGTGGCGCGTGGTGTAGTGTGTGTGGTGTGGCGCGTGGTGTAGTGTGCGTGGTGTAGTGTGTGTGGTGATGAGCAGCCTTACCGTTGGTGAAGGGACTTGGTGGTGGGTGTAAGAATGGGTGAGGGCGGTGAACCTGGTACCGTCCTGCCATCGCCGCCCACGCCGCCCACGACCTGCAACATGTCCTGCTAAGTTAGGCCTAATTTATTCCTACTACAATATAATCTGTTGAACAAATCAAGATTGGAAAGGTGAAATGTAGTTGCCCTTGAAGAACGGATTGATGGATATTTCCAAGTCAAAAATAATCCTCGAGGCCAGAAAGTATACCTCCTGGCCAGAAAGTATACCTCCTGGCCAGAAAGTATACCTCCTGGCCAGAAAGTATACCTCCTGGCCAGAAAGTATACCTCCTGGCCAGAAAGTATACCTCCTGGCCAGAAAGTATACATCCTGGCCAGAAAGTATACCTCCTGGTCAGAAAGTATACCTCCTGGCCAGAAAGTATACCTCCTAGCCAGAAAGTATACCTCCTGGCCAGAAAGTATACCTCCGGGCCAGAAAGTATACCTCCTGGCCAGAAAGTATACCTCCGGGCCAGAAAGTATACCTCCTGGCCAGAAAGTACACCTCCTGGCCAGAAAGTATACCTCCGGGCCAGAAAGTATACCTCCTGGCCAGAAAGTATACCTCCGGGCCAGAAAGTATACCTCCTGGCCAGAAAGTATACCTCTACCTTGAGGCTACCTTGAGGTGCTTCCGGGGCTTAGTGTCCCCGCGGCCCGGTCGTCGACCAGGCCTCCTGGTTGCTGGACTGATCAACCAGGCTGTTAGACGCGGCTGCTCGCAGCCTGACGTATGAGTCACAGCCTGGTTGATCAGGTACCTCCGGGCCAGAAAGTATACCTCCTGGCCAGAAAGTATACCTCCTGGCCAGAAAGTATACCTCCTGGCCAGAAAGTATACCTCCTGGCCAGAAAGTATACCTCCTGGCCAGAAAGTATACCTCCTGGCCAGAAAGTATACCTCCTGGCCAGAAAGTATACCTCCTAGCCAGAAAGTATACCTCCTGGCCAGAAAGTATACCTCCCGGCCAGAAAGTATACCTCCTGGCCAGAAAGTATACCTCCGGGCCAGAAAGTATACCTCCTGGCCAGAAAGTACACCTCCTGGCCAGAAAGTATACCTCCGGGCCAGAAAGTATACCTCCTGGCCAGAAAGTACACCTCCTGGCCAGAAAGTATACCTCCGGGCCAGAAAGTATACCTCCGGGCCAGAAAGTATACCTCCTGGCCAGAAAGTATACCTCCTGGCAAGAAAGTATACCTCCTGGCCAGAAAGTATACCTCCTGGCCAGAAAGTATACCTCCTGGCCAGAAAGTATACCTCCTGGCCAGAAAGTATACCTCCTGGCCAGAAAGTATACCTCCTGGCCAGAAAGTATACCTCCTGGCCAGAAAGTATACCTCCTGGCCAGAAAGTATACCTCCTGGCCAGAAAGTATACCTCCTGGCCAGAAAGTATACCTCCTGGCCAGAAAGTATACCTCCTGGCCAGAAAGTATACCTCCTGGCCAGAAAGTATACCTCCTGGTCAGAAAGTATACCTCCTGGCCAGAAAGTATACCTCCTGGCCAGAAAGTATACCTCCTGGTCAGAAAGTATACCTCCTGGCCAGAAAGTATACCTCCTGGCCAGAAAGTATACCTCCTGGCCAGAAAGTATACCTCCTGGCCAGAAAGTATACCTCCGGGCCAGAAAGTATACCTCCTGGCCAGAAAGTACACCTCCTGGCCAGAAAGTACACCTCCGGGCCAGAAAGTATACCTCCTGGCCAGAAAGTATACCTCCGGGCCAGAAAGTATACCTCCTGGCCAGAAAGTATACCTCCGGGCCAGAAAGTATACCTCCTGGCCAGAAAGTATACCTCCTGGCTAGAAAGTATACCTCCTGGCCAGAAAGTATACCTCCTGACCAGAAAGTATACCTCCTGGCCAGAAAGTATACCTCCTGGCCAGAAAGTATACCTCCTGGCCAGAAAGTATACCTCCTGGCCAGAAAGTATACCTCCTGGCCAGAAAGTATACCTCCGGGCCAGAAAGTATACCTCCTGGCCAGAAAGTATACCTCCTGGTCAGAAAGTATACCTCCGGGCCAGAAAGTATACCTCCGGGCCAGAAAGTATACCTCCTGGCCAGAAAGTATACCTCCTGGCCAGAAAGTATATCTCCTGGCCAGAAAGTATACCTCCTGGCCAGAAAGTATACCTCCTGGCCAGAAAGCATACCTCCTGGCCAGAAAGTATACCTCCTGGCCAGAAAATATACCTCCTGGCCAGAAAGTATACCTCCTGGCCAAAAAGTATACCTCCGGGCCAGAAAGTATACCTCCTGGCCAGAAAGTATACCTCCCGGCCAGAAAGTATACCTCCCGGCCAGAAAGTATACCTCCTGGCCAGAAAGTATACCTCCGGGCCAGAAAGTATACCTCCTGGCCAGAAAGTATACCTCCGGGCCAGAAAGTATACCTCCTGGCCAGAAAGTATACCTCCGGGCCAGAAAGTATACCTCCTGGCCAGAAAGTATACCTCCTGGCCAGAAAGTATACCTCCTGGCCAGAAAGTATACCTCCTAGCCAGAAAGTATACCTCCTGGCCAGAAAGTATACCTCCGGGCCAGAAAGTATACCTCCTGGCCAGAAAGTATACCTCCGGGCCAGAAAGTATACCTCCTGGCCAGAAAGTACACCTCCTGGCCAGAAAGTATACCTCCGGGCCAGAAAGTATACCTCCGGGCCAGAAAGTATACCTCCTGGCCAGAAAGTATACCTCCTGGCCAGAAAGTATACCTCCTGGCCAGAAAGTATATCTCCTGGCCAGAAAGTATACCTCCTGGCAAGAAAGTATACCTCCTGGCCAGAAAGCATACCTCCTGGCAAGAAAGTATACCTCCTGGCAAGAAAGTATACCTCCTGGCCAGAAAGTATACCTCCTGGCCAGAAAGTATACCTCCTGGCCAGAAAGTATACCTCCTGGCCAGAAAGTATACCTCCTGGCCAGAAAGTATACCTCCTGGCCAGAAAGTATACCTCCGGGCCAGAAAGTATACCTCCGGGCCAGAAAGTATACCTCCGGGCCAGAAAGTATACCTCCGGACCAGAAAGTATACCTCCTGGCCAGAAAGTATACCTCCTGGCCAGAAAGTATACCTCCTGGCCAGAAAGTATATCTCCTGGCCAGAAAGTATACCTCCTGGCCAGAAAGTATACCTCCTGGCCAGAAAGCATACCTCCTGGCCAGAAAGTATACCTCCTGGCCAGAAAGTATACCTCCTGGCCAGAAAGTATACCTTCTGGCCAAAAAGTATACCTCCTGGCCAGAAAGTATACCTCCTGGCCAGAAAGTATACCTCCTGGCCAAAAAGTATACCTCCTGGCCAGAAAGTATACCTCCTGGCCAGAAAGTATACCTCCTGGCCAAAAAGTATACCTCCTGGCCAGAAAGTATACCTCCTGGCCAAAAAGTATACCTCCGGGCCAGAAAGTATACCTCCGGGCCAGAAAGCAAGGCTGGGTGCACAATTATAGGCAGTATATCCCTATTGTAATTGTACTGTGCAAGTTATGGTCATTTATTGGTGCCGTCCGTCGCTCGCATCGCATTAGTTGGTCTGCATCAAGGTACACTGACATCCTTAGAAAGATCTTACCACTTAAAAGAAGGTATAGAAAATATATAGCATATGATAGGAAATTAAATATTTGATTGCAATTGAACTTTAATAACGAGTAATGTTATGTAGTTACATCGTCAGCCGCGCGGTGACGGTTCTCAAGACGCTGTTGAAATCGTGCACAAGACGGTTCGAGAAATCGATTTTATTAGGTAAGAAAGGTTTGATTAACTTAGGTTAGGTTATAAAATGCGTTGGCAAGCGTCTTGCGATCTCGACGTGATTTGTCTCTTGTCGGAGAGGGATTTACCTGGAGGTGTTGTACTGATAGTGGTGGGCATGGTCTTGGGCGAGAGGCACCAGCGGCGGGCCATCACCACCTGTAAGAAATGCCTGGAAGATCCGTCTGAAGGAATGCAACTGGTCCTTGTTGGCGTTATCTTCGGCTACTAGCAGCGTGTACAGAGCCTCCGTAGTGCGCTCCTCGCGCGGTGTGTGAGGTGATCCAGTGCTGGGCTGGTCCTGGGGGCTAGGACCTTGTTGAAGGATATCCATCGTCGAGCTTGGCGTGTGTGGTCCAGTGCTGGGCTGGTCCTGGGGGCTAGGACCTTGTTGAAGGATATCCATCGTCGAGCTTGGCGTGTGTGGTCCAGTGCTGGGCTGGTCCTGGGGGCTAGGACCTTGTTGAAGGATATCCATCGTCGAGCTTGGCGTGTGTGGTCCAGCGCTGGGCTGGTCCTGGGAGCTAGGACCTTGCTCAGGGATATCCATCTTCGGCCTTGGTATGTACGACGGTCCAGCGCTGGGCTGGTCCTGGGAGCCAGGCTCTAGCTGGGGTCTATCCATCACCACGCCAGGAAAGACACCACCGCTAACCTTGTGGAGGCTGAGAATATGGAGAGAAGACTTGAATTAAAAAAGAGTTTGTAATGGATTGATTAAAATTGTCTAACTGTACCTATGATGGTTCTCGCGCTGAAATAGGAAATATGAATTGCAATTTTCTCCTTGCATTTCACCATCGCCAACTATGTCATTGACGTGGCTTTTGCCATATTCTGTTTCTGTTGATATATCTTACAGGGAGAACAAATATAAATTCTATGTAATAAAATTTCGATAACCAACATATTTTTCTAATAACTTATAAACCTTAATTAGTAATTATGATTGTTTATCAATTGAATATCAGTTATATGCTCAAAAGTAGCAGTGAAATAATTGTCACAAAAGTATTAATTAAATATATTTGTGACATTTGTCAGATGAAATAGATCAGAAGTACAAAATCCTCCACCGGAGTGAATGTTCGGGGAGGATTTTGTTAGGTAAAAATCACGCAGTCAATAAATGGGTGAGATTTAATAAAATCCAACAAAGGGCTTTACTTTTCAATGTTAACGTCCTGAAGAATGTACTCCTCGAAGTGAGCGAGATCGGGGTTCCTCGGGTCCTGCTGCTGATGGTGAGGGCAGGCGCAGCAGCCGGAGTTCGAGGCTCTTACACAGACCTCGTCCTCGTCCTCCTCTCCTGATCCTTCTTCCTCCTCCTTCTCTTCCTGTTCTCGCTTCCTTAGAGCCTCCACAAAGGATTCCTGTCTCGCCTCAGTGGCTGCCCATATCTTCTTGAGGCTGTCCTGAACTATTAATTGTTTAGGGAAGAGAAATGCGGTGCTAAACACTAACTACTGAACACATTGAAGTATTGCAGTGCATCGCCTACAACAATGAATAACACTAAGAAAACATTTGTCATGGGGTACAAATACTTTTCCATGAACTTCCCATGTGTAAGATCCGAGACATTGCAAATCTGCCTCAGAAACTTTATTTGATTTTCATCACCTAATGTTTATCGTATATATTATCTTTAATTCATGTAAATAATTCACCCAGTATTTTGGTCAGCAAGCTGGCTGAGTGACTTAGTGACTGGCGGAGGGTAAAACACAAGAGTGTAGCCTATTACACAAACCAAATCCTGCCATGGATTAAATAGCGTTTAGTCAGTAAATGTGAAACTGCTGCTGGGGTGTAAGTGTCAGGAGGTAATACTTGCATAAGAAATACACAATTCTCAAGATGCTAAGAGCACAAGTCTTGGAAGTACTGGTTGAAGTATAAACAACTTTATGACAGGAAGCCAATGACTCTTAAACTTAGACTTAACTGGTCTAACTGGTCAGTTGTGCAGTTGTTCTTTTTCTGAAATTTCATTTAATGTAACTGGCAAAACTGATTTAATTAGAATTCAAAGAACAACTTCCAGCTACCCAAAAGGTATATGACCTCGTGATCGAGGAGGAGCAAGGGGCTTGTGGCTCACCGTGATGGCTGCAGAAGTCGAGGTGGGGCGGGAGGGCGTGGTGGTCGGGAAGGGCGAGGGCGGTTACCAAGTAGTGATCCACCACCCCATGTGGGCGGCGGGGCGGCTCCCACCACAAGTCTAGGGTAGAGCTGCTTCTGGACGCCCACCTCAAGCCCACGGGCTCGCTGGGGTCTGTGAGCGAGACGAGAACAGCCGAGTGAGGAGCCCTTCTCACTTGTTGTTACACATATGTGGGCTAAAATGTTGTCTTAATCGCTTTACATATAAGAAGTCAGGGTGTCGCTGTCATGGATATATAATATATAATATAATATAATATGTGTGTGTGTGAACTTACAGCAGATAAATCATTTCAAAGTTGCGTTTTATGTAATATTTTAAACTGCAGCTGTTAGTTTTATTTTAGAAAGAGCCCAACAGGTTAGTGTTGAAGCCGATTGGCACTGAAGGGAGAAGGGTGAAGGGAGAAGGGTGAAGGGAGAAGGGTGAAGGGAGAAGGGTGAAGGGAGAAGGGTGAAGGGAGAAGGGTGAAGGGAGAAGGGTGAAGGGAGAAGGGTGAAGGAAGGGGGTGAAGAATGTCTAAAAAGGAAGAAAGCCGACCCGTTCAGAGGCAACGAATAAAGCTGGTACACAATTTTAGGCAACTCTTGGATCCCTAAAAGTGTTGATCCAATAGAGTTCAAGAATACTGTGTACAATTCTAGTAACCATTTACTAGGAAAATGGTTTGTCAAATGGGAAGGTGAGATGTACACTCATCAGATGTATATACAGATGTTCACAGAGTGGGTACGGGCCTAGACGCCTTCTGACTCCTGTTAACAGGCTGTGAACTTGCCCTTCCCGTTGCTCATGCTAACCCTTGCCCACTAGTTTTCCCCTGGAATACCATCCGTCAGTCGCTTAGCAACCAGGTATGTAATTACTGCTGGGTGAACAGAGGCGAACAGTTAAGGATTGGTGGTCAGTCCACCTCCCCGGCCAGGACTCGAACCCAGACCAGATCGCTCACGACACGTGGAGCGAGTTTGTAAATCACTAAGCCACATTGGTGAAGAAAATCATAACAAACCCATTCCCAAGGCCATCAAATATCAATAGTTTGTATAAAGGCATTTCAATTCTGGGTTCATTAAAATACTTCAATATTACATAGATTAATATTACATATATTACTGGGGCCTGACGGCTGAGTGGACAACGCTCGGAATTTGTAGTCCTTAGGTTCCGGGTTCGATCCCCGGCGGAGGCGGAAACAAACGGGCAGAGTTTCTCTCACCCTGATGCCTCTGTTCACCTAGCAGTAAATAGGTACCTGGAAGTTAGACAGCTGCTACGGGCTGCTTCCTGGAGGTGTGTAACAAAAAGGAGGCCTGGTCGAGGACCGGGCCGCGGGGACGCTAAGCCCCGAAATCATCTCAAAATAACCTCAAGATAGATAAATTGTAGCATATAAAAGTTTTAATTAAAGGGATCCGAAACGTGGAGGATTCGTTGTATCCTCCACGTGTCGCTGTATCCTCCACGTATCGTTGTATCCATCCTTGTATCCTTCGACTGGTCAAGTAACACGGGAGACATCTCCCGTCACGCAGGGTGCAGTTGCACCTCCACAGATCTCCAGTATCAGCTCTTGATACTGGTAATGGCTCAAAAGGGCCACCACTTACGGGCTATTCATGCCCGTGCCACCTTTTGGGTGGCTTAATCTTCATCAATCAATCAATCGGTCAAGTAACGAAGGAACATTGGATAAGAAAGTGTTAAGTAACGAATGATCATGTGAAGACATGAAAGGGTGAAAGTATTCGACCACCACATAGACAACAAGGCATGACAAAGGCATGAGTTACCCACTGAAGGCGCTGGTGTTGGCGTAGACGACGGAGGACCTAGCGTCCTCCCTGGCGGGAAGATGGGCGTGTGTCCTCACATAGAGGGCGTAGCGGGTGCTGGGAGCCAGACCTCCAACCTCTACCTCCAGCTTCCCCTCCTTCGGGGCCTCCCTCTGTACTTCGATCACCGACCACCTGCAACGAGAAGGCCAGGGAGTGTCAATTTCTGTATATTTTTGATAGTAGCCTTGGCGAATTTGACAGAGATAGTAATATGCATAATGAATCCAATTCTTGAAGTTATTTTACGGCAAAGCAACACGTTACTGCTCACCCGTCGCTAGCAGAGCAGGGCTCCTGATGTAGGGTGACGTTGGTTGGCGCCGGCCTGTAGTTGACGTAGAGGGCGTCGACGAAGGCAAGGTGGTAAGGAAGGGCGTCTACGGTCAGTGTGAGTGTACCGTATGCTGGGGACGCCCGCACGCTCACTGACAATGGGGCTACCTCGCCTGTAGCAGGAAGAGCAAAATGATGCCGAGGATTTTATATATACACACACACACACACACACACACACACACACACACACACACACACACACACACACACACACACACACACACACACACACACACACACATGGAATACTGGCCAACGTCTGTGTATATAAAACTTTCCGGGCTCTATATGCAGCGAAGGTGACTCGTTCCGGAGCTGAGGGGATTGAGCTACGAGGAAAGACTGAGAGCACTGGATCATGCTGGAGGAAAGGAGAGATAGAGGGGGACATAATAACAGCATATGAGATTCTAAGGGAAATTAACAAAGTAGACAAATCAGCGTTGTTAAAATCTAGGAACAGCAGAACAAGAGGTCATAGATGGGAACTGGAGACGCAAATGAGTCAGAGACATCAGGAAGATATTATTCAGTGTTAGAGCTGTCAATAAATGGAATAGCTTAGATGCAGATGTCGTTGAAGCTAATTCGTTTCAGCATTTTATATTTAAATATGATCAAAGCTTGAGAAATGAGTTATTGTAGAAATCTAAGAACGTTCGGAAGGCGGGGCTAGGAGCTTAGCTCGACCCTGCAAGCACATCTAGGTGAATACACACACACACACACACAAACACACACACACACACACACACACACACACACACACACACACACACACACACACACACACACACACACACACACACACACACACACACACACACGCGGGTGTGTGTGATGTGATACCCACACAGAGCACCCTGGCCATTAGCTCTGGACTCGTCATCGTGTGTGAGGTTCGCCTGGCCGAGCACAGCCGCCAGGGCGTGGATCTGACGAAGGCACAGTAGCGGGTTGCTCTGGAACAGCACCTTCCCACGCTCTACTGTGAAGTTGTGGTCGGGGAGGGTCCAGGAGGTCAGGGAGTGCAGGTTGGGGTTGTCCACCACCACCAGGGAGTACCTGAAGGAGGAGGAACGGAAGGTCCTTCAACACCCAAGTCTTGACATTAGCCACATCATGTATTACTCGGTTAGAAAAAAATCTTATAAACGCCAGAGAATGTCTGCTTAGAGAGAGAGGCACGACGCCACATTCCCCCACTCAGTGATAATCTCCACTATGTCTAAAATGTCTCTCGCCAGTATCTCCTACAAGCCATTAAGAGTGATATGCCCTCATGTTATCCTCCACCATTCTACTCATCTCCAACAAATATTTCCCCATCAGCATCTCCTACTTAACAAGATTTCCAGATATGTCTTCAGCCTTACCTATTATACATCAGATTCTCTCCGCGAATCTTCCTGAGGTTGGGCAGGATGCTGGTGGATGTGATGTTGGTCCTGAAAATCTTGACATAGTCCCTCACCACCTCTATATTCCGCAGTAGACGCCCCACCTCTTTCTCTATGTTTTCTGTAAGAATACACGATTAGTTCGGCTTCTTATCTTCTGTAGGAGAGAGATAGTTAATGGGTCACTGTGTTGTTATTAAGAAAACAATAGGTATTGTTTTCTTTTTTCATTTAACGACGGCACATGTTGCTCTGTGAATAACTGCGTCATAGACAGGAAGGATTCTGTCTCAAATTGGTGTTGGAAAATGTGGCCATATACACAAACGTACCAGTGAAATACGCAGACAAATGTATTATAATAATATTGCGTTATTCATCTCGTTAATCAAAGGCATAAAAGTGAAAACAGTGAACGCCGAATGGAAAGGAATGGGAAGTGTAGCAAATACTGGGACAGTTGTGGCATAAATGATTGTGATAATTGCTTCAGTGTCAGCCATGTGAATGATCAACACAGTGTTACAAGGCTCTGTGATGTGTGCTCGGGACTAAGTCGCCATTCACCAAGACCAAACCACACATCGGAAAATAGAGAAACGACGACGTTTCTGTCAGTCCTGGACCATTATCAAAGTCGCGTATTGGGTACACTTAATGGTCCAGGCTTCCTCAGTGGGTAAGATCTATCTTAACTAATCATATAAGGCAGTTTTGTATACATATTTCTGGCAGCGAAGTTTAACGAATATCAATATGCAGACAGATGCATCCCATTGAACTCTAACGTATGTGGTACAAAAGATGATAGATGCAGAGTTGAGATTGAGTACCTGTGGCATTTTAAGGTAAAATATCGATTAGTTTATTGATTGAAAAGATATAAAGCCAACTTTGTAGAGTGGTGGGTGGGGGGTGGGGCTCAACTTACCTCCCCCGGTGATGGAAATCTCGAGGGCGTCGACTGAGGAACAAAACTCCAGGTCCTGGGCTTCGTGGATGTTGTTGACGATGGCGGTGTAGCAGGAGCCGCAGCCTGTAGTGAAGACGCCAGCACCTGTCGGGGAGACGCCAGCACCTGTAGTGAAGACGCCAGCATGTGTCGGGGAGACGCCAGCACCTGTAGTGAAGACGCCAGCACCTGTCGGGGAGACGCCAGCACCTGTCGGGGAGATGTCAACGTACACTCAACACGCGCGCCTCCACAACAATTTCAACGGGGTTCGCTCCCGGCCCACGAATGATTGATTAGGCACCAATCTCTAACTGTTCGCTCCTGTTCACCCAGCAGTAGTTGCGAACCTGGCTGCAAACCAATTGGGGGGTCGTGTTCTAGGGAAAACTAGTAGGACAAGGCATACCATGAGCTGTGGGAAGGGAAAGCTCTCAGCTATTAATTAACAGGACTGAAAAGTCGTCTGCCGCAGCACCCAACTGTTTAACACTGGTTGACAAACTGGGTTGTTGATTTATGAAACCAAATACTGGGTAACGCCGACATGGAATCGCTGGGTTGTTTCAATCGTAGGTTAGACTTATGTATGTATGAGTTAGGTTCGATATAAATAGGAGTTGCCTCGTATATGGGAGAATATGCGTAGTGTAATTTCCTGTATTCCTGTGTTATGTAGGTACACTATACCTACACTCAATATCCATGAGTGTATTCCAGTGTAGTAAGGCTAAGACGATATAATCTCGCCGGATAAGTTTATGTTAGATAATAACATAGAAAATAACATTTTCAGATTCTTATCGAGACTTTTTTCCATCTCGGTACATAGAGATTAGTGTGTTTCCGCTCCTCCTAGCGGTCGTTTCTGTAGTGTCCGTGTTGTGATACAAGGCCAGAACCAGTACACGACTTGCTAATGGCCCGGGGCGAACCGAAACGTTGTAAATGGTTTGATTTTCAGATTTCTGGGTTGAGAAAAAAAATCAATACCATAAAACATTAGGGACTGATGTCGGGAAGATAAACAAATAATTCTACTCGCCATAGGCGACGAAAATGAGATACATTCACGTCAATTATTTTTCCCAGTCACAATCGGCAGCCTATGACGTTTTGTGGGGTGGTAAAGTGTACACATTTAAACGTGACACGCCTAACTTGCCACGTGGAAATGTGGAATCCACGTGGAATTATCATGTTCCCCATTTATTAGCGTTATTTCTCATCATTGTTATATTTGATATTCATCATTTTTGTTGGTGGAATGATGCGGACCGCGTCGGCCCACGTTCCCACCACGTGTTTATACAACATAACAAAACAGTTATAGAATTAATGGTAATACAAGTAGGATAATGTGAGACATATAGAGGTAATAGTAATAATTTATTAAGGAACCTGGAAATCAATAAAGGGAGTCAGGGGCAAGAGGGGACATACCAAGACGTGAACCAGGGGCAAGAGGGGACATACCAAGACGTGAACCAGGGGCAAGAGGGGACATACCGGGACATAAACCCAGGCAGGAGACTCACCGGTACAGTGGTGACAGTGGGGGTTGGACGTCCTGGCGGGGACCGGGCAGGACTTTGAACATCTCTCTTCACTCACCGGTAGGTCACGTGACTTGCACTCCTTCCACTCTAGGCACTCGTCACCCACCTGCCGGCAGTAGGTCTGGTTAGTGTACTCGCCTAGTGGTGCTTGCGGGGGTTGAGCTCTGGCTCTTTGGTCCCGCCTCTCGACCGTCAATCAACAGGTGTACAGGTTCCTGAGCCTTCTGGGCTCTATCATATCTACATTTGAAACTGTGTATGGAATCAGCCTCCACCACATCACTGCCTAATGCATTCCATCTATTGGAATGATGTGTGTATGTGTGTGTGTGTGTGTGTGTGTGTGTGTGTGTGTGTGTGTGTGTGTGTGTGTGTGTGTGTGTGTGTGTGTGTGTGTGTGTGTGTAACCATATACGTACCCTGTAGGTGTGGGCGGGGCAGGCAGAGGAACAGACGCCGGCATGAGCGAGGTTTCTGCAGGCGACGCAGGCGGAGGCGTTACTGGGGGCCGTACACCCGCCCACACACTCCCGGTGGCAGCACTCCCCTCCCACACACCCTCCCACGCACTCCGCGCCCTGGCAGCCTCCCACGCACTCTCCTCCCCCACACACTGGAAAGGAGAAAAGCCCATTTATCAAAGACTCTCTTAGTCACGTTAATGTTTGTTTACATTATCAGACATGTCAGTTCTATGGAGTTTATTAGCGTTAAGGGTAAGAGGAAGCGGGCCACAGGTATCACCCCTCACGCCCACCTGTTGTCCCTTCATGACCCACCTGTTGCACCTCTTACACCCACCTGTTGCACCTCTTACACCCACCTGTTGCACCTCTTACACCCACTTGTTGCACCTCTTACACCCACTTGTTGCACCTCTCGCACACTATCCTGTTGCTCGGCGCACACACACACTCGATGCAATCAGGTTCATTGACTGGTATTTGCAACCAATAATTTCAATTTGGCAGTATACGTCAAGGCGACACTTAGCGTCGTGGTGGGGTCTGGTAACCGAATTAAAACCACTTGTGTGAGAGCAGGAAAATGGGAGGGTTGTGATGTGGGGTGATGTGAACGCATATTATGGAGTTACTGAGTGTTTCTGGGGCGGGGGGGGGGGGGGTTAGCACAGGGGGAGGGAAGGGGAGGGGGAGAGTGTGTGAGAGAGAGAGGGTGAGTGTGTGTGAGAGGGGGGAGTGTCTCTACATAGGGAGTGATATGTAGACATTCCCTACAGTGTGATAGGGAGTGTCTATCTCCCCTATCTTTGGGGGGAGATAGGGGGAGAGAGAGAGAGAGAGAGAGAGAGAGAGAGAGAGAGAGAGAGAGAGAGAGAGAGAGAGAGAGAGAGAGAGAGAGAGGAAGGGAGGGAGGTAGGGAAGGTGTTTGAGATATATAATCAAACACATCAATAACACCTCTCCAATCTATTATGAACGGACCAGAGTGAATTACAAGTCGGTTGATAGACACCCAACAATCATATCTATTCCAGGAAAATACATGTGTGTGTGTGTGTTCCAACCTAGTTGTACTTGCGGTGTCAGGGCATAAGCTCCCGGGACTCGATTTTTAGATTCCGGCCGACTGATAGTATATTACACCTGGATATTTGTATGCTAAATGATATCCTAACTTCTAGAGATATGCATGGAGTTATCCTCTTCTGTCTCCTCCGTGTAATGAGTTAGCCTCCACTACCTCCACGTAAGGAGTTAGCCTCCACTACCTCCACGTAAGGAGTTAGCCTCCACTACCTCCACGTAAGGAGTTAGCCTCCACTACCTCCACGTAAGGAGTTAGCCTCCACTACCTCCACGTAAGGAGTTAGCCTCCACTACCTCCACGTAAGGAGTTAGCCTCCACTACCTCCACGTAAGGAGTTAGGAATTCCTTGTTATAAGCTCTTTATATCTCTCCGTTCCGCTCTCTCTTTATTTGCCACTCCGTAAATAATGCAACCATTTGGCCTAACCTTTGACGTACAAACCCAAGCATCCCACCTAACCTCTCGAGGCCGATTAAGAGAAACGTCAATATTACGGCGTTTTAATGTTGAATAATTAAGTCTCAATTTTAACGGATTCGTTGAGTCTGTGAAGCAACGGGAATTCGACGTAGAAGCAACGTTAATTCAACGTAGGATTAACGTGAAGTCGACGCGGAAGCAACGTTAATTCAACGTAGGATTAACGTGAAATCGACGTAATAGCAACTTAAAATCGACGCAGCAGCATATCAGATATCAGAGTAATGTTAAAAATCGACGTCGGAGGAATGATAAAACAACGCCAAATTAACGTCAAGTCAACGTAGAATCAACGTCAAGTCAGCCTCGTTTGACCACATTTATTCGCGGTGACACGTGGCTATAGCACATGTCCGTGGCTATAGCACATGTCCGTGGCTATAGCACATGTCCGTGGCTATAGCACATGTCCGTGGCTATAGCACATGTCCGTGGCTATAGCACATGTCCGTGGCTGTAATACCGTGGGACGAGTATGGAGGGGGGAGGAAGATTGAGTTCTTATGTTTGTTTACAGTTTGCCAAGTCCACATAGATGTGTGTGCATATATATATATATATATATATATATATATATATATATATATATATATATATATATATATATATATTTTTTTTTTCACTGTAATACACTACCTTCCACAGACGCTCGCCTCTTGAGCACCCTTCCCCCACCCTTACACTAAGACCGTTCTCCCTCTCCCCCTGCACCATTTTCTCCCAAATAACAGGAACCACCAGCCTTCAGGCGAGTGTTGCTCCTCCCAAGACAATCTCCCAGGTGAAGCACAGGGGTCACGTCCTCCCTAGACACTCCTGTGGGGGAGGGCGTGGGGGGAGGGTCAAGGGAGAGGTTGGTGAGGTCAGAGGGTAACCTCAGCCAGAGGACACTGTCAGGAGGTAATAATGATGGTCGGGAGACCTCCAACCTCCGCTCTTATATTTATGGCTAAAACTCACCCAACATTATACCAGTCTCAGTAGCACAGTGTATTATTGCTAGAGAGAGAGGCAGAGTGAGACAGAGAGAGAGACAGAGACAGAGAGGCAGACAGAGTGAGACAGAGAGAGAGAGAGAGAGAGAGAGAGAGAGAGAGAGAGAGAGAGAGAGAGAGAGAGAGAGAGAGACAGACAGAGACAGAGACAGAGACATAGAGACAGTGATGGTAACAGGGGCAAGAGCATCCTGAACACGCCAAGGGCCGCCTCAAGGAACCGCAGGAAGGAGCCACCCGGCCGCTCCTGCTATAATATTACCCCGAGACAAATGACTGGTGTAATACTAGAGTAAAAATTATTTAAATCCGAAAATGCGGAGAACACTATTATCGCAATGGCAGTCAGGCTCGGTGAGTAATCTCTGGGGGTGAGATTCGGAGCCCGGCAGTAGTACACACTGGACGACGCGAAGACCCGTCTGCATACTGAACCTGCCGAGGTTGAAGCGTGATTACTGCCCCTCAACATCATTAATAACAGGATGATGTTCCTGTTATTAACATTATTAATGTTAACGTTAACATTACTAACTTTATTATTATTATTAACATTAATAACGAGGATTAATAACTATCATCGATCTGGTCTACCTTAGTCTCAAAGGTATTGGAAGATCTACTCATTTCTCGATCGGGTTCTTGAGGTAACTAGCGGTGAGTTAAGACGTGTTTGGACAAAGTTTTTTTTTGGGGGGCGTGACTCACCTCTTCCTCTCTGCTGGGGGGGGGGGAGGGGGGGGGGGGGGGGGGGGGGGGGTGGGGAGGGGGGGGGGTTGTTATAGTGACTGTTGCCACAGAGAGACTTGAACTACAAGACATCTGGCATGTGATATGACTCTTTAAGAGGGTCATTCCTGCCGTCCTGAATCTTGCTTCATCTGTGGTTTCAATATAAACGGGAACGATGTTAGTGTCACGAGTTAATGGCCATTAACATAGAGAAGATATTGTTGTCAATAGACTGACCATTAGTTAACGTTAACGGCCATTAACATAGAGTAGGTCGTGTTGTCAATAGATTGACCAGTAAACAGATAACAAATATAAAAAAAAAACTGCTTGCAAATGTCACAATTATTTCAGTTCTCTGAGGTATTCCCCCCCTCCCCCTCCCCCCCACCCCCACCGGACAGTTGGGCTGCTTAACACCAAAATTATCGGCCCCGGACGGCAATTTTCAGGATATTTGAAGCCTTGACCTCTGACTCTTCAACAGCTGTTTATTCATTCCCTTGCAGTCTGGCCTCGTAAACAACGTCCTAATACTCGTTTATCCAGCCGCCAAATGCTCGCGTTATAAATACAAATCGCTTTTCAAACGACTCACAATCTGATGATATTGATGACTTTCTTCCTATAGTTAAATCTCACCTCCGTAAATACAAGTAATTGTCTTGGAATGTAAACATCTAACCTAACCTAACCTAACCTAACCTAGCTTAACCTAACCTAGCCTAACTAAACCTAACCTAACCAAACCTAACCTAACCAAACCTAGCCTAACCTAACCTAACTAAACCTAACCTAACCTAACCAAACCAAACCTAACCTAACCTAACCTAACCTAACCAAACCTAGCCTAACCTAACCTAACTAAACCTAACCTAACCAAACCTAGCCTAACCTAACCTAGCCTAACTAAACCTAACCTAACCTAACCAAACCTAACCTAACCTAACCTAACCTTGGCCTACATATATTAGCACTAAATTATTAGGTATTAACTAGAGGGATACCGAGGGGTACCTCCTTCTTCCCTACCCTCTTGTCTCCCATCTCCCTCCTCTCTCACTCTCCTCGCTCTCTCTACCTCTCTCCTCCCTTCGCCATTTGGCCTCCAACCTCGGAAAGACATTTCCTTTTATCTACTGTATATACCAAGAAATCTAGGGACCTGTCTATCCAACGTTCACCGATTACGTGAGGGAGGGGGGGGTCATATTGTGCTCGACTCCCTCTTAATAGGACAAATAGGACCGATCCTGACTAGCCTACGTTCGTCCCGTACCCCAGACCAGAGACCCTGCAAAACTGGGTGAGGTTATAGTTCCCATGTCTGGCCTACAACCTCATGCAAAGACCTTCTAATAGAGGTAGATATTTACCATGTTAAAAAAATATTTTGATATTGAGCACACAGTACGTTAACATTTACGACTGCTCGTTTGGCGGGGTGGCAGCTTGGACGAGGCTACCCTGAGGATGATCTGTGGCCTTGAGTTAGCGATCATTGTGATACGAGTTTGACTCTTACGTCCTCCTCTGATGGATGGAGGTCCGTTAGGCCTTAATAAAAATACACACACAGTTTTAAGTTAGAATGCCGTGGATATGCCAAAACAATCAGCAGTTTCAAAGTGTCATACGACAAGGCTTGTAGGGAAGACGGAACACCCCGACCTTAGCCCTCGTGCCATAGCTACACTTGGCCAACCCCACACACACCACACACACACACACACACACACACACACACACACACACACACACACACACACACACACACACACACACACACACACACACACACACACACACTGTTTCCCCAGGAGTACACAATAATAAGGAAAGACCCATAGGCCC